CAGGCCCAGCTTTACTGTTTACCCTGAAGGTTGCTTGATCTGAATCACCAAGAACAGGGCAGGGAAAAGGGGTGAAATGTTACACTGCTGTACGCAGTTCACACATGAAGAGCAGCCACTGCCCTCTCATATATACGCTCCAAAATGCGATGGATGCTGGCAAAACTGGGTCTGTCAGAAGGCAGCTTACTCCAGCAAAGGCGCATGAGGTTGTAGAGCTCCAAAGGGCAGTTGTCGGGACACGAGAGAACGTTGCCATCTCTCACGTAGTAGATCACCTCCTCGTGAGCCATACCATAGTATGGCTGCATGCCATAGGAAAAAATCTCCCATAGGACCACACCATAGGCCCACACATCAGACTCAGTTGTATAGCGGTTGTAGAATATGGATTCTGGCGGCATCCAGCGTATAGGAATAGCATCATTTTCATTGGCTTTGTAATAGTCTGCTGAATACATATTTCTTGAGAGACCAAAGTCAGCAATTTTTACAACCATGTTCTCTCCCACCAAACAATTCCTGGTGGCTAAATCCCTGTGGACAAACTTGCGCTCTGAGAGGTAAGCCATGCCAGCTGCCACCTGTTTGGCAATGCAGAGTTGATCAGTGCAGCACAAAGCGAGTGGATTAGAGAGCCGGACTCTGGTGTCAAGGTTACCGGGTGTCAGGCTGCAGAGGTTGCGAGGTGAGCGGTCACGCAGGTACTCATTGAGATCCCCATAGGCCATGTATTCAAACAGCAGGCACATTGGTTTCCCAACAGCACACACCCCTGGAAACAAGAAAATATACCAGATAAGTCCTGGGGGTTGTGTTAAGTCACACTTATCAAGAGACTCCAAAATGTACTGACTTTTATTGACTCCTTTGTACCTTTGAAAATCTTCCCCTAAAGTTCTAAAACTGAACTCACAGGAGAGAATAAAATCTTAGGTTGTATGATTGGTTGGTTTGCTTTGATACCACAGAACAAAAGATTTGGATAGTGGATATTTATTTAAGTGCCAAATTCTGGTTAAATTGGTACTAATGGGAGTTTTGCCATTGACTTAAATGCTTCCCAGACTTGATCAGAGGGGTTGTGCTTTCAGTGAACAATCTTTAACATTTTGTTCTCAGTTTTGCCTATTCAGAATGTTGTGACCCAATTTTTCAAATGCCATTTTGTGTCAGCACAAATATTGGAGGGTTTTGCATGCAAGCTATGCTACTTTGTACACATTAGGTAGCATGACTTCAGATTTGTGCACAAAGATAATTTCTGGACACACACCCAATAGTCAGGAATGAGAAGGGGAAGGAGGCATAATTATAGGAAAAAACCTGTGTGTTTGAAAACAGCAAGCAAAACTGAAAATGTTGTTCTAGAGCCCAAATGAGGGTCACTGAAAATTACAGATATTTGAAAATGCCTTCAGGGAATCAATGGTGGAAAAGCAGGAGTCATCAGAAAAGATAGATTTGGAGCACAAACAAAAATGTTAAAAAAGCTAGAACTAATCCTGGAAATGGATCCATGCTGGTGGAGCCTTGCATATACACAGAGCTTCAGTGACTTACATGGGGTGTTAGATGGCCACCTGCACAGAACTTGTCAAAGGATTGGAGTCTAAATTCACCAGATAGGTGCATGTGCCTTATATTCCTTAACATTATTAGCATTATTTTTTGTAATTCTTTACTGTCTAGGAGCCCCAGTCATAGGTCAGGGCCCCACTCTACTACACAGTGTACAAACACTAAATAAACAGATAGTTTGTACCCCAATCTAATGCTGAGACTTCTCCATGTGAGTGTCTGTCTTCTAATTCTAATGCCCATTTTCTCATTCTAGTTTTCCACTAAGACTTCTCTTTAATTTCCCCCTAAAATCTCTTTATAATATTTTTGCCCCATTGAGGTTCAAACAATCAATTTCTAAGCTTTGAACATGAAGATGAATAGTTATTTAACCTGAGGGAGATTTCCAAAACAGCTATTGTTCCTAATGGCAGCGATTGGGTGTCCTGAATTCTTTTGAAAGTCAGGATGTAAATTCTTTCTTTCTTTGCAAAATGCAGCAACTGCAGATTCTTCAGTTAACGAATTTCCAAACCAGATTATTCACTCGGTTTTACCAAATGCATGGCAATATTAAACTAGTGTTAAAGGTGAACATCGAGGCAAGAATGTTGCTCTTGTTCTAATGTTTGACAATGACCCACCAAAAGCAATGGAATTGTTCAGACTATACAGCATTTGCATTCAGGCTGTACACAATTTGCCTTATTATGACTACCGTTGAACAGTCTGTTATCTTGCTTATTGTGAAATATGAAATTCTTGCCTATGACCTAACACTTGACTCTTTGAAAAAGAACAGACAAAATTTCCCAATGTAATACATCTGGATCTGGCAAGCAGGAGCAGTGTATGTGAAAGGTTTATAGGCCAAATCATATTCAACAGCGTGGCCATTTCTCAACACCCCCTCAACACATAACAGTTTAATTCCTGCATCTTTGGCTTTTCCTAATTTATCCAACATGTTAGCAGCAAACAACAAGTTGATTCCAGTTTAGTGCATGTTTCCTGTTTCTCCTTTCTTTTGCTACAGTAAATGCTTGTTTTGTTCTTGTGAAACTGGAGTGCTTACAGAATTCCTGCAGTTTTCACTACAGAAAACTTCCTTGATATTCTGTTGACATAAGCAAAGGGTACAGGTAGATATAACAACTGTAGGGCTATGAAAGGATACCAATACAAGCTGTTATATGTGACCATGGGTGAATCCAGAGGGGGTGCAGTGGCATGGATGTACCCCTCACACCTTTCAATCAATGCTGTGGGAGCAGTAGTCAGGGCCTCTCTTTTTTTTTTTTTTTTAAATCCCCAAAGGCAGTAAGGATTCCCTCCTCTCCCCACCCCTACCCCTGTCCCCATCCATGGCATGTCCTGTCCTCTCCCACTCCCTCTCTCCCCTGCCCACTGCTGCTGCTGTCCCCGTTGGGATGGTGAGGCGCCACAACTCCTCCTGCTTTGCTCCAGTGAGGCTCAGCTGGGTACAACAGTAGTGGTAGGCAGGTCCCCTCTCCCTGCTCGGTCCACCCCTTCCCACCCCACCAGGTATTCCCTGGCAGCCCAGGAGGAGATATGGGGGAAGGAAACTTGCCCGCTGCTGCTGCTGCCAACCCCAGCCAATTCACCCCAGCTGAAGCAAGACAGGAGAACCTCCCCTCCGTCCCTTGCCTCCAAGCAGCCAGGGACAACAGCAGTGGAGGTAGGGAAGGGAAGAGAGGGGACTTGTTGCTGAGCGCAGAGGGGAAGGGAGTGGAGACCAAGAACAAGGAGGGGAGATCCTTATCTGATTGGGCACTCCACTGCTGCTTCCAATGCAGGATATGCCAACCTGCTGGGAGTAGGGACAGGTGGGAGGGG